CCCCAAAACCCCAAAACCCCAAAACCCCGTAATGATTGATTGTAAATTTTTTGAGATCAAATTAAGAATATTATCATTAAAATAAATGTAATAGCAATCCTTGATACCTGAGCTTAGATTTAGCCTATTCAATCGACAATTTAGGATCTTTGTTCTCTTCTACTCCTTGCAAGTCATTGTTGAATTCCAAAAGTTCGTCATCCTCTTCCAAATTACTATAGGTCTGTGTTTGTGGATGTGCAGTAAATGTGCCACCCTAAAACTCTTTCGTATTTGTCCTTTAAACACCAGTTGCAGAATGCATGGCCATTGTATTAGGCCTCACTATACTTGGATGTTCTAAGTCTCTTCCTGTCTTAGTTGGAGATTTCTTAGGGGCTGCTCTGACTAATGACTGCTCTCTTCTAAATTTAGTACTTTAGTTTAACTTGTCTTCTCCTATTAGACACTCACTGAGAAGCTCGCAGATCTTTTCAGGGTTCAGTTTGTTCTTGTCTGAATAATTGAGCATTTCCTTGAAGAAAGAGACTATATAGACGAAAGCCATTGAGTTATCTTTCGGCAGTCTGTATAGTATTTGCTGCAAAATCATGTCATCTTAATCGCCAAATGCTAGAATATTATTTTATGCAGATATATTTACTTTCATAGAGAGAGATAATGTCGTCCAAAATATGAACAGGCAGTATTGGCGTGAGCAGAGTGCTTAAGAAATCAATCATTACACTAGCTACTGTATAAGGATCATCATTATCATCTACTTTCAAGTCCTGATTGGTGTCTATCTTTTCCCTCACTATCTTAGCCTAAGCAGCATTGCCTGAATTCAGGAATATGTTGGGTTTGAGCTTGCCCTCTTGCAGGATGTATGTTGCCAACCTGTGAAGTTCCTTGGGTAAAGGTAAAGTAAACTAATTAAGTCTTCTGCTTTACATGCATAGGAATACATCTTCAAAGTTAATTTGTTAGAGTTCATCTCTGATTGAGAGATTGTCTTTTCCAGTGCATTAATTTAGAATAGACAGTGCTGCTCCAAAACAACTTGAAAGATATTTGCACTGGACATGTATAACTTGATTTTTAGTAAGGACATCTGGTTCATTGGTCTTAATCTGAATGAATTCCTCTAGATCTTTGTCTAGAAACAGCAACTAGGCTTCTCGTTGATTTATCTATATTCTAAACGTGATTTACTTAGTCTCTCCAGCTTTTACTACGCCTCTTAATGGATTGATACTTAGCCAAGCAGAGTGCTGAGTTTTCTTCTTCAGCATCTCAGCGGTTTATGAGCCTCTCAGACTAATATTGTCTCTCTCTTACAACTTTGTTATTTCATATTCTAAAAGACCGTCTCCAGTATTTTCTACTTCCATTATAACAAACTAAGTGTCACCATATCTTACATTCTCAAATACTACTTCTGTGGTAGAGAGCTTCATTTTAGGGATGAAATTGTCTTTCAAGTTCTTCAAATAGTCAAGGATTGTCTAGGCTACAATTTATTACTAGACAGGATCAATCTCCTTGTAAGTAGCTTTGAAAAGTGCGCAGACTGGCTTGTGATCAGATGTAGTAGGGGAGGCTACAGAAGTGTAAAACTACTAGTACAAAGTCTCTCCTCTGTAAAGAATACGATCACACCAAGATGGAATTCTCACCTTATCGGAATCATAGTCGTTTGTTCCAACTTTAAACTTATAAGTAGGCGGAAATTTGATTTTTCCCTCTTCAAATTCTCCGAATACATTCCCAGCAGCTTTTTCTTGCTTTAACTAATCCAGATTCCTAAGCTCATAAAGTTTATTTTGCTGAATCATATCAACTACCTCATTAAAGTTATCACTGTTGATTCTGTAGTTCAAATCACCACACCAGAGTAAAATGTCATGCTCAAATAGGTTTTGCTTATCGTTATGCTTGTCAATAAATTACAAACTCTTCAGAATTTAAGTAACATTCTAATTTCTTCTCTGAACTTTAGATTGTGAAGCTGCAAGATGGGCATTGATGACTGCTATTTTAGTCTCGCAAATTTTAATTGAACAACCAATTGCTCCTTTATTTCCTCCTACTCCAAGTATACCTGTACCAACCTATGCCAATTGAACTTCTGAGATTAAATTTATCTTGTCTTTTCTAAATAAGACCACTTGATATAAACCAACCTAGCCATGTGATGCTATTTTATCAACATACTAGATATTTGGGATTGGCAATTTCCCTTCGAATCTCTTTTAGAAATAAGTATTGTATTCTTGTATTAGGTATTTCTCCCAAAGTTAAGGTTATGATAGCTGACCACTAAGTATCATAGATTTAGCATTAAGAGGAACAATTTCTTGAAAATTAAAGACCATCAAGTCAGGGATATCATCTAGCTCATTGATTTCTAAGTATCTCTAGTCCAAATACACATTCCTAGCAGTGAAAATGTCTTCAACCTCATCACATGGTGGCTTCTAGCCATTGACATTCCAAGTTACTACAAAGATTTTGAGACCGTGTTCAATCATATATTAACTTTATCTTTTCTCGAATTCCTATTTGAAAAATATATCCATTGCTATCTGCGACATATATTTATTGGATGATTTAATTTGATCAATTGTCTCTTTCAGTTTCCTAAATTCATAATGATAATTAATAGAGATTATTACTCTTCTTTAGATTCTTGGTTTTTCAAGGCAATGTCAATTGCCTCTACTTTTTCTTAGCCTACTGGCTTTGTCTAAATAATTTTAGGAATTAATGTGCTGTAATGCCACAACCAAGCATGTGTTTTCTAAATAGCAAATGTGTTAGATTCACCTATAGTTATCATTAATCACAAACACATACGTGGCAAAAATTATCTGATGCTTTGGATTCTTTCCATGAGATTTCTCTTTTCTCCAGCATGATTACTTAACACTCTGACTTTGAAGGTAGCAGTTGAAGGGATTTAAGCTTATATTATCTACACTGGGCTATCTAAATATTAAGGATCCCAATAGCAAATGAAATTTAAGCTATCTGACTCAAGTACTCTAATGTGTTTAAATACGATCTAAAATGCTTTACTAAAATTCAATAGTGATTGGCATAATGAGTTCAATTTTTTTGCTCTTTTTAGCTATGAACACTAAGGCAAATTAGTTAAGATTTTCAAGGTTTGAGACAAGAGCAACTGTGCACGCTACCTCATTTTTCTTTTATTGGGGCTATAACGTACTAAATTATACACAATTTTACTGTGGGTTACTATTGCAGGATCTCCATCATTCCCTCTATCATAAAAGCTACTTTTTCCTATTTCCTTAGATGTTTGCTTAACTAGTGCTGATCTTCCATTTTAATTGCAAATCTATTATAATTTGATTTATAACTTATTCTCCAAATTAGAGATCAAAGGGGTTTTGGGGTTTTGGGGTTTTGGGGTTTTGGGG